TTCAATGTTCTTTAAATGTGGGGGCCTTGGCGCTTTTCTCTTTTCCAATATCTCCCTCGTGTTCAATTTGAAAATCGCTTTGGCAGCCTTGAGCTTTTCATTTTCATCATGTTCTTGAAGCAGCAAATATGTTGTGAGGTATACAAACCTGAAGTAGAGAGACAATGTGAAACATCGCATTATTTTTGTCGATTTAGTCTATTTAAAATGAAAACATTTGTTAATTTGAGAGCCTCTACCTGAAAAGAATATAATTTTTCTATTTTTGACTTCGTTTGCAGATTGGGATGTTTAACGGCTACATGGGACAAGTGGTCCTTGTTTGGCTATTTGAACAGAGAGAGCTTTAATTTCAGTTTCATATTTTCAAATTCCTTTACAAAAAGTAAATATTAATACATTTTAAATTGAAACAAAATATATGTAAGCATACAAGCTACATCAATATATAAGATATACCATAATAAAACTACAATAAGAAATGTTGAAAACTAAAGGATTTGTTTTTAATGTAATCTAAGCGCTCTCAGCCTAGCCTGTAGGATCTGGAGCACAGGCTACCTCAGCCAAGTTGGTAAGCTCTAGGGTTCTAAGTGTATCCATGCCTGCCTGGCAATTCTTCAAGTTGTCCTTAATCTTTGGTTTTGGAAAAAGAAAACGAGCCTTTTTCTCTGACAAATTCGGAGAACAGTGCCCCTTATTACAAGATTTCTCTGACAATTCTACATTGTTGGACTTGTTAAGTATGGTGCTAAAATATGGTGAACATTATTTCAAGACCTAGACAATTCTACTACAGTAGAAGCCTTGCCCACATTAAAGTGGCTTTTCCCCTAAGTATTCTTGTTTACAGTTTTTATGGAATTCTTGTTATTATGTAAAAAAGTCTTGTCATGTGCTGCTACTTCCAAATGTAAGATACCCGAGTGGCGAGATCACCGGGAAAGCAATCTAAAGAATTAACGATAGAAGCTTTTTGCAGGAAAATGTCTTATATGAAATGCTACATCTGCAAACAGAATCGCTTATTGACATAGCTATTAACATAACACAATTAAAGCGGCTGTGTACATGCAGTTTACAAAAAATTAATGATATTTCTAACTTATCAAACACTTATCATATGTAGCTTTACTATAGAAATCTAGATGTCTATCTAGAAATCAAGATCTCAGTAGTTTGGCTAACCAATGAGAGATACTCTAACATTGGCAATACTCTCAAATCGACTGGACCCCCCGTCAGGCCTAAATGGGAGTATACCCCCTCCGGGGGCGAGAGCACTCACCTGTTTTCAAAGATTTTCTAAGCATTAAATCCATGGTTGCCAGATTGGCATTTCTTTTGGGCAAAATTCTCCAATTTAGGCCTTTACCAAAGTGGAAAATTTGTTTTTGGCCTACCACTTAAATTTGGCCTTTTTCAGCAGACATTTTGAGGTCATTTCTTTGTCTTATACATACTTTAACACCCTAAGTAACAAACAAATTATCAATTAAAAGGGCAAAACTACACGATGTAAACTCAAATGAACAAATATTATCAGCTAAACTAACGATTAGCAAAGGAATTTGTTTGAAGAAGAGAGTTTCTCTGTTTCTTGTTTGAGTTTGGAAATTATCTAAAAAGTGCATTCGTGGAATACACTCACTTTTTTATAAGAAACTGGCTATAAGAAACAAGTACTGGGAAGTCAGAAAAAATTAAGAAACTTCAGTACTCGGAAGAAGCTTTTTTGTGTGCATTTCGGTCTTAGTCTGTCACTCGTCTTGTATTCAGTTGTAAGTCGTAATAAAATCTGGCAATATTGATTAAATCAATCCCATTATCAATGACAAAGTATAATGACATCAAACTTAAGAATTGAGGGTTTTTGGTGACCACATATTATTGTCAAAAGGAAGCTTAAAAGGCCTCTCCAGCAAAATTTTGCACTTGGATTTTATTGGCTAATCTAAAGGAGTTGAACCTGATGATCATGAATTCGTTCTTTGTTTTTCGATATTTTTTACAGTTTGTGAGATATAAGCTCTTGCATTTCGATAATTAAAATTAACCGACAAACTTTTTTCGGTTTGGTGACACTGTGATGCAATTTTGACGTCACTGTGCATTTCGTTAGTCTCGCCTCAAACCGAATCGAACGACGGCGATTCACAAATTTAACACTGCAAGTGATGATACTCTCCATTTGTAGCCAGTTCTGTTCCACTGGCTTTTAGTTTGAGCATTTCAGACACCAATTCTGAAGCCTTTAGTTGTTCATCGTTTCTGGAGAACAACTGAAGTGTCAATTTCGATTAATTATACGCGAGGAAAGAGCTGTAACCAACCACGTAGCTGTAGGTGTCGGCTAGAGGAGGCAAACTCGAGCAAGAGCCATACCTCAGGGGGGCAGGCTTTAAAACAAGAAAACAGATATATAACAAACAGATATATTTGGAAAAAATCAAGGTCATGGAATTATGAATATGCCAAATTTTCAAAATATCATTTGGAAAAACTGTTGCCAGAGAGGGCAAGCTGATTTCAAAATTTTCATTTGGGGGGTCAAAGCCCCCCCCCCCCCCCCC